TCTCGTATGATAAAGGGAGGAAAAGGGGGGGGGGGGGAAATGCGAGTACTGTAGTTGACTAGTTGTTTACATCTCTACATTTTTATCATAAAAACAGTTAGCAATTCAATACAAAAGCTTCAGAACAAAAAAATAGTTGGAAAGAAATGATTGAGTGCTAGCATCTAGATTAAACACTAGTTTTATCATTTTATTATGAAATTCTGTAGGAGAGATGCTAAGGTATATGAAAAACCACTGCAATGAACGACATGCATTTTTTAAAATTATTCGCTTTTAAATTGTAGAACATATGAATGATTAATACATTATTTACTGGTTTAAACAGCAAGATGGCAATGTTGTAGTCCAGGTTAAACCAAAAGCTGAAATACTCATAACCCATCTATTTACAGTATAGGCTATTGTGGCATAGATGCTTTTTTGTCCACTAAAAGCTTAGTAAATTAACTGCTCCATTCTAACGGATTTCTATGGCTTTTTCCAGGAATGGTTATACATGTAATATTTTAAAAGCCTTTCTCACAATGAAGGAATAAAAGCCCATTGCTTTTGCTCCAAAATGCTCCAAAAATGTTGTGATGTAGCTCAGAGTGACTTGGTCATTCTTTATCAGTATTATCAAGTTACATTTATAATGCATAGCCATAACTGTTTTATTTTGGTGAGACTCCATAGCCCTGTCAAAACAGGGAAAATTTCTACAATTTTGCACCAGAAGTAGTACAAGTTGAACCTCTCTAGTTTGGTACTCTTGTGAACTGCCCAGTGCCGAATTTGCCAAACCATGGGCAACCATTACCAACACTTCCACTGCCTGATGGGCTCTTAAAAGATGTGTAGGGATAAATTAAAGCTAAATAGCATCACAGAAAACTGAGAGCCAGGATTAGTGCCTGTGAACAAACTTTGAGACCACGGGAAGCTTGACCACATCCATGATAAGTGGACATCCAGCTAACTAAAATAATGCCAGGCCATGGATGTTGCCAGAGAATTCTGGACTAGAGAGGATCAATCTGTAATGCTTAGAAACCACAAATGTGCAGAAGACTCTGGGAACTTGTGGCATCTTAAGGGAAACCTGCTTTGAGAAGAGTTAGATCTTGTCTACAGGGAGAAGCTATTGTGAAATAAGTGAGGGTATGAATTTAAAGTGTAGTAGTTATGCTGTAATAGCTTCCCATGTGGACACATCTGCAGTAAATGCCTCTGTACAGTTTAATTTAATTCACTTTAAAAGTGAATTAAGGTAAACTTCACACAGGCACTCTTAGTGTGAAGTAAGTGCCCACAGGGGAGCTTTTGCAGAATACCTGTTGTGGGCTATTTCACCTTTTAGGCAAGCCTTTATGATATAGTGTTTTAAAAAGCAGTGTCTCTCTGGAGCCCTGACCATGCTCCATCAGTGACAGAACTGAACTGGTGAAATTAACACATGGAGAAACTTCTCTGAATAAAAGACTAATATTGGTAAACTTAGACTTCGATTAAATGGTGGTCTACCAATCTTCTAATGGCATTCCATTACTTTCCGAGGGAAGCTCTGTAAGATTTAGAAGAGATCAAGAAATCCTTTGCAGACACAAGGAACGCAAGTGATTCCCAAATTAGGCCACTGAATCACTCCTCTAATCAAGGTCAATTGACTCTCTCATTCATCCTATCCTCTAGAGTGGAGTTGGCAACCTTTTTAGACCAAAGAGCCAAACTACATCATAATTCAGAACAAGTGGTCAACAAAAAGCCGTATAAGAATGCCTATTTGCATTACTGAAAATGTTATGTCGTGTGGAGTTCCACAGTATAGGTAGAAATCAGTGGAAACATAGAGAGGTTGAGTAGTTGCAAGTGTTCATTTTATTGCATAACCCAGAACTAACTAGAACCAGCCCAAACCATCTGGGCTGACCCCAGTGACCTAACTCAATTACTATAACAAGATCTATATCTAGAACCCAATATACAACAGAAAATATACAACTTAATATTATTGATAATTGACATGATTAATAATAGCATTAATGAAACATACTCACCGGCTTTATTTAATGGGACTTCTGCTGCATCTTTTTGCACATTTCTTTGAAGTTTACATTATAATTGGTCAAATCCAGCTTCATGCACATATTCAGGCTGTCTTCTGTCAGTCTTATGGCTGTAGGGATGTGGGGCTGCAGGAGTTTGGTTGGGGTATATGAGGGGCTCAAGGCAGGGGGTTTGGGTATATGATCGACTTGGCACAAAGTTGGGGTAGGTAGGAGGTGCAGGAGTGTTATGGCAGGGAGCTTGAGATGTGGAGATACAGAGGGCTGGGAATGTGGGGGTGCAGGAGTCTGGGGATATGGAGGTATGAGAGTCCAGGGCAGGGGGTTCAGGTGTATGATGGACTCAGGGTTGGTGTGGGTGGGGTGGGGTGCAGGAGTATTATCACACTGCAGCCAGATGGGGGTTGGGCCCTAATTGGGGTCTCATTGGCCAGGCTTCATTTTTAAACAAAGTAAAATATTACGTCCAACACACAAAGTTTAAATGTTTTCTTTCTTTATGGCAGAAGTGGGGAACTTATTTTGGGTTGGGGGCCACTGACAGAAAAATCAGTTGGGGATTGAGAAGCAAAAAAAGTGAGAAGCAAAAAAAAAAAAATTAGGTGGATAGCCTTTCATTCATTCTTATCCACTTGCACACCTTAGAGGGTCTGCTTAGAGGGAACTATCCTTGGACCCCTTGAATGGAGTAGGCCACACACCACAGCTTGAGAATGGCTACCCTAAGGCAAAGATTTTTTTTAACATAATTTTCTTCAAAATATCTTAGCAATTTGTGTCTTTCTCCTTGCCCATCTCCACTGACTTGCCCAAGCAGACACAAGTTCAGGGCATTGTACAGCAGAATTTGCAATGTTGGTGGGGATAGAGTAAAGAGAATGGAATGGGAGAAACCTGCTTTCCCCCCTCCCCCCCACTGAATGTGGCCTGTTGCCTAATGCTGTGTCTAGACTACATCCCTCTGTCGGCAGAGGGATGTAAATGAGGCACTTCGAAAGTGCAAATGAAGCAGGGATTTAAATATCCCACACTTAATTTGCATAATCGTGTCATGGCGCTCTTTCAAACAAGTGCCATTTTGAAAGAACCGTGTCTAGACCTCTGGAGTATAGGATCTCTCGTAAAAGCGTGCTGTTTTTGAAAGAACTGCATCTAGACCGCAGTTTTACTTTCAAAATGGTGCTTGTTCAAAAGAACTCCATGAAGTGATATGCAAATGAAGTGTGAGATATTTAAATCCCCGCTTCATTTGCACTTTCAAAGTGCCTCATTTACATCCCTCTGCCGACAAAGGGATGTAGTCTAGACACAGCCTAATTTACTGAAAAAGGGGATTGTCCAAACACCCAGCCTCTGCAGGGTTGTGAGAAGAAGCTGGTGACTCCCTTCATACTATGTTTTTTGAGGGGAAATCAGTTGCTTGCTGCCAGAAGCAAGCATCTTAAGGCTTTTCAATCTTTTAAAAAAGATATGTTAATTGTGCCACAAAATCTTAATTATTTGCTAACATATTTTGTGTATTCTACAGGGCACCCAGGCAGTTGCTTCTAATAGAAACACACTCATTCAGTCAAATGCATCCCATTGCTTTGAAGTTCAGAAGTCATTATGACCCCACCATTGATTGAGATCAAGATGCATTGCTCTCATTCACTGAGTCAAATTAACAAGTAACATAACCCAAAAGAACTACAGTGGTGTTCAATTCATTGTTTCATTTACTATTTTTATATACATATTTTTCCTTATAGCAAAATGACTGACCAAATAATACTATTTTATCAATATCAATTGCTTAATAACATAATAAAACATCCTGATTGGATAATAATTAAATCAGAGTTTTAATATCATATGCTGCAAAGAACCGCAGGAAATGCACAGCTCTTCAATCCAGTATGCAACTAATGGTATATTAGGGTGTATTAGGACGAACATATCCAGCAGATGTAGGGAAGTGATTATTCCCCTTTATTCGGCACTTGATGAGGCCACATCTGGAGTATTGCATCCAGTTCTGGACCCCCCACTATAGAAAGGATGTGGATGCATTGGAGAGGATCCAGCAGAGGGTGACCAAAATGATTATGGGGCTGGATGGAGCACATGACCTACGAGGAGAGGCTGAAGGATTTGGGCTTATTTAGTCTCCAGAAGAGAAGAGTGAGGGGGGGATTTATAGCAGCCTTCAAATTCCTGAAGGGAGGTTCCAAAAAGGATGGAGAGAGGCTGTTCTCAGTGGTGATGAATGGCAAAACAAGGATCAGTGGTCTCAAGTTACAGTGGTCTAGGTTGAGTATTAGGGAAAACTATTTCCCTAGGAGGGTGGTGAAGCACTGGAATGAGTTCTCTAGGGAGGTAGTGGAGTCTCTCTCCATCCCTAGAGATTAAGTCCTAGTTTGACAAATCCCTGGCTGGGATGACTTAGTTGGGGTTGGTCCTGCTTTGGCTAGGGGGCTGGACTCAATGACCTCCTGAGGTCTCTTCCAGCCCTGGGATTCTATGATTCTATGCATCAATTTATTCAGGCATTCTCTTTTTTATATATGAAAAAGGAAACACATTTCAAACACTGGAGTAGTCTTACTGACTAGTGATTAAAGACTTACAGTACCACACCCTCTCAGTGATATAGTAAATTGCTTAATTTTATTGTATTTCTCTAATGTTTGGTCTCTTGACACTCTTGTATGTATCTTGATATCTAGGAATGCAGCCTTCGAGAAAAGATTGACTTTGAAGTCCGCATGCGAGAGGGAATCTGTAAACTGCTTGCAGTGAGCACACAAAAAGATCAAGTGCTGCATGCAGTTAAAAACCTGATGGTTTGCAATGCTCGCATACTCGCCTACAGGACAGAACTACTGAAACAAAAAGAGGAGCCAGTCATGTGCAGAACTAGAGGATGGTTAGTAATAATCTTGAGTATTTTATTACAAAATAAGAATTCAGTGGCATGTTGTGCTTTTTTTGGGAAAAAAACTGTTTCGATCATTGTTACTGTTTGTATCAGGAGGCTTTTTGATCTAATACTTGTCTGGCCTCCTTCCTCTCCTCGTCCTCTACAGCAAAACCCCATAACAATTTGATCTTTGCATTATGCTAGAGCATTAAATCTGCATTTCATAACCTCACTTCAAGCTATTGAGTTTGGTATTTCAGAAGATCTAAATTAAGGTAATTTGTCCTATACTAAAACATATTGTGGACATTATCCAATAGTGTTCAAGATAGAAGTGTGGAATACAAGTTTTGTACAAAACATGTGCAGGAATGTCAGGCTAGGTGTATGAAAGAATGAAGAACGGACAATCTTATCATAAGATTCTACTTCAGGGGTGGCCAACCCATGGCTCGCAAGCTGCATGTGGCTCGCGAAGCCGCCCCATGCCCACCCTACAATCTGCCCCTGGCTCCCTGTGCTCACCGGGTGCGGGGGAGCTGTCCGGCGTGGCAAAATGGTGCCGGCAAGATGGTGGCAGTTGATGGGCTACTTGCAGTTTTTAAAGGAGCAGCGTGGGTTTTTCCCCTCAACAACTCTGGCTGGTGGGAGGGCTTTTTTTTGCTCAACAATTTTGGTGTGGGTCTTCACATTCTTTCTGATGCTGTTTCGGCTCTCTTGGTTTAATGGGTTGGCCACCCTTGTCCTACTTGAATTGCAGAATGATTGTCAAAAAATTGCAGCTGAGTTGCGAACAAGCCATGAAAAATGCGGAAAAGTAATGGACCTTGTTATTTGCAGTAATAAATACAATTATATGGATGTCTGCTGTTGATCTCCTGGTGATGAGAGTAGGGATGTTAGGAAGTGAGTAATTAGATAATTGGCTATCAACTACACAATTCGTTGATAAAGGAGGAAGTACTCCAAGAGCTACTCCTGCTTTGGCTCTGCAGTATAAATATAGTAAAAGCTGGGTGGGCAGGCAACCTGGCTCCTCCTACATCTGAACTGCAGAGCTGCAGCAGGGTAGGTCCCAGACCCGGCCCAAGGAGCTGGGACCTCTTTTGGAATTCTCCCCTTCCTCTCACGCCGTGCTGCTGCCTCTGATAGAGGCTCTGTGCTCCCCGCAGCGCTTTCGCCTTTGAAGTGTTGCAACAGCCCTAGAGCTGTTGCTACACTTCAAAGGCGGAGGTGCCCCATCGACTAACTGAATAGTATTGCAAATTGCATCGACTATTCAATTAGTCAATTACTCGAAATTTAACATCGCTAATACAGAGGCAGCAAGAGGGGGGAATTCGGGTAGTCGACTCCACTATTTGCTTACATCTCTAAATGAGAGCAGAAGCCCCCATTGTCAGCTTCTGTCAGCCTAGTGGGGTCCAGGGCTGACAGCTGGGGCTCCTGCTTTCTGCCCCACATTACCAACATACACAGCTGTCAAAACTGTGGTGGAATCCTAATAATGCAGAGTCCTCAGTATTGCAAGCTAAGTAGGGTCTTACTTCTGGGAATATCTCCAAACCAGCATATTTTTATTTTAAATTTTCAGTCGTTTACTCTTTCTAAATGTACTTTAATGATAGACACACAGTGGTTAATTGGTACCCTCTGCTGGCCATTTTATTTCACTACATTTATAGTAATCAAAATACACGATTCTTCACAAACACGAAGACAAATGATTGGCTAAAATATGCCCAAATTAAAATTCCTGGGTGCTAATGTTGCTCTGCAAAAGGTCTAGAACTTGTATTCAATATTGAGAATAGTCGTACAGAGCTACCATTTGTTTCAGAGTATCAGTTTAATGAAGTATTATGTAGCAATTCACTACAGGAACTCTTCAAGCAGCTATGGGTTTAATCCCAAATGAACTGTAGCCATAGCAACAAACTTCTAACATTTTTCGTCTTTGAAATGATGCCTTTTGGGAGGAAATCTAGTTGAGAGAATTTTATGTTGTGACCAGAATAACATTGATGATTAAAGCTAAAATTTAAAAGTGTTTATGCACATAACCATGGTACATTTTATGCCATCATCAAATCTTTATCAGTTATTGTTTTTTGATAAGTTGAAGGCTTATATGCTGTTTTCTTTCTCCATCTCCAAAAGCAGAAAGACCAAATATTTTTGCTGATTCTTCTATCTCTAGTAGGCCTTTGATACTGTTGATCACAAGGTAGTGGTCAGGATGGATAAATATCTCTGATTTAAAAAAAAAATAAAGTTGGAGTTTTTTATTTGTCAGATTTTTTTTGATATTTAAATTGTTCTTCTTTGGGTAGTTCCCGTGGGTGCTCCATGTCTGGTGTCGGGCTGGTCCCGGCACCGCAAATCAGAGCTTGCCGGAGCTGTGTTTGGCCGGACCGCGCGCGTGCGAGCTGGTTTTGCGCCTTTCATCCGCTGCACGCCATCTGGCAGCCGCCAGTTTCCTCTCATCCGCCTTGAGTCGTGGAAGGAGCTCCTTCATCTCCTCTGATATCTGAGTGGAAGTTTAAGAAAGACTTAAAAATATTTTTCTTTAGCCTGCTATTCATTACTTCGTTCCTTTGTGTTTTAAAAAAAAAAGGAGAGTTAATATAGTATAACCTGTTTTTCTATGCTTACAATTGTTAACGTGCGTTTTAGCTGCTGCTGTCGCTTTAGCCTGTAGTCTCAGCTCTCCAAAACAAAAAAACCAAAACAGTTCAGTTGTATATAGTTATAGTGTTTCCGTTTGGTTTCTCCTCCCGCTGCAGCCCCCTTAGCTCACAGGCTTGTTCTTCTTCTTCTTCTTCTTCTTAAAGATAAGGAAACAAACAGAAGGAACAGAAAGGTTTTTTTTTTCTTCAGGTTATACCGTTATACACCCTGTCTTTCAGTTACTGTTTGTTGCTAACCTCACTAGTTACCAGACTTAAGGGGCGGGGGAGAAAGGAAACAAAGAGAAAAGTGAAAAGGAGAGCGGACAGATAAAGAGGCATGAACTGACGTCTCTCTCTCTGACTCAAAATGCCGGGCTCTCCTGGGTTTAAAAAAAATGCTCTTTGTGCAGAGACTCAGTGCCGGTCTCTGACGGGTGCTCTGCCTGTGTCCGCTGCCCCCGAAATGCAGCCACTGCGCTAAGCTAACTACCAGAACCCGCAAGGAGCGGGATTGGCGTCTGAAGGAGATTCTATTTGACAAGGCTCTCCTGCCTTCTAATGTTACTGGCTCCTCTGCCTCGGACCCTACACCAGAAAAGCAGAAGGCTCCTTCCCCGCCTCTGACTTCCCCAAAGAGGAAGAGAGCCTCTCCTGCTCGGTCCCTGCTGGTTGCCCCGCAATCGCGGGTGAGTGCAGATGGCAAGCCGGGCACCTCTGGCTCCAGGGTAGCCCATGCATCCACTTCAAGAAAGCCGGCTGCCACTTCTTGTTCCTGGCTGCCACTGGCACTGCAGACAGAAGGGCTTCTTAAAGGGCCAGTAGCATCGGCACTGATGCTCCCAGTACCGGCTTCTCAGATTCTTGCAGTCACTCCTCCGTGCAATAGTGATAGAAATGTAGCCATGTTAGTCTGGGGTAGCTGAAGCAAAATGCAGGACAATGTAGCACTTTAAAGACTAACAAGATGGTTTATTAGATGAACTTTCGTGGGCCAGATCCACTTCCTCAGATCAAATAGTGGAAGAAAATAGTCACAACCATATATACCAAAGGATACAATTTAAAAAAATGAACACATATGAAAAGGACAAATCACATTTCAGAACAGAAGGGGGATGTTTAGTTTCCAGATGGGGAAACTAAAGTGCCCAAGCTATTTTGCCACACAGTGAGTCAGTGGCAGAGGTGGGAGCAAACAAAGACTTGAGACTAGCATATGGCTTTAAGTAAGGGCCTCTTTACATTCCACCATGAGTCATACACTGTACTGTGAAGCCCCTCCCCCACGCTGCAAAGCAGGCACATCTCAAGTTTTGTTTACATATTAGACACAATATCATCCATCACTCAGGGTCATTTACCTGCTAACTTTCAGTGGCCTTTGATATTTTCTCTGCAAGGGCTGTTGTGATAACAGCCAATGAAAAAAAGTTCAGTTCTCAAGAATGATTACAAAATCATAAACCTGGGAGAGGCCCCTTTTCCCTCTGCATTTTGATCTGGACCATGATAAATCTCTCCCTCCCCCTCCCCTTTAATTTTGTTTGCATTCAACACCACTGAAGGTTGTTTTGTGCTGTCTACTATGGTAATGACAAGCAAAACTGAATCTCGGACCTCTGAAGCTTAGGATACGTCTACACTGTGGTGCTATTTCGGGGTACTGTATCCTGAAATAGCTATTCCACGTCTTTTAAACAAGCCCATTATTTTGAACTAGCTTTCAAAATAACGGGCTTGCTATTCCAATGTCCCTGTAAACCTTGTTACACAAGGATTGAGGGACTTTTTGGAATGGCACTCTATTTTGAAATTTGGCGCTGTCTACACACTCAAAATAAACTATACAATTTGTGTAGCTCAACTTGAATAGCTTATTTCGAGCTACGGGTAGAGTGTAGATACACCCTAACTGCATGCGTCTCTACAGCTTGAGCTTAAAGCCAGCTGGCTCTCAGCTAAGGCTGTAGAGCAGATTCATTCTTCCTCTGTAAATGGTCTAAGTGTCACTACATAGGACACTCTCAATGACTTAACCACCTGCATTCTGCTACAAAGACCTTTTACATCTGCACTTGAAAGGGAATCCTCTGAACTGTCATATATGTTAAAATTCGACACTTTCCGGGAGGGGGACACTTTCCCCCTTCTGTTCTGAAATGTGATTTGTCCTTTTCATATGTGTTCACTTTTTTTTTAATTGTATCCTTTGGTATATATGGTTGTGACTATTTTCTTCCACTATTTGATCTGAGGAAGTGGGTCTGGCCCACGAAAGCTCATCATCTAATAAACCATCGTTAGTCTTTACAGTGCTACATTGTCCTGCATTTTCCTCCGTGCAAGGAGCTGTCTTCAGCACCACTGGCACCCTTGGTGCCTATTACTGACCAGGTGCCTGCGTCATTACAGCCACCTGAGCCCTCAGACTCTCAGTCTGCATGCTCTGAACAACTAGCAGCAGCTTCTGCTAAAGCAGCATCAAAATCAAATGCCCAGGGTGAATTCTCTCTCCCCCTCCCCGGAGCCATCTCCTTACCCTTCTACTTCTGCATACCATACAATGGGTCACGGGGAATATCTTCGGCACAGTGTGTCGTCTCGCCACCATTACTGTAGAGAATGGAGCTGCTCACATCACAGATGCTCTAGATCTCGATTCCCTTCAAGGTGCTCACGTTCACCGATCCGCTCACCGTGCAGTGCTTACTACTGCAGGCACGGGGTCACTCTTCAAGGAGAAGTCCTCCACCTGCTAGACATCGGAGCCATAGAGCAAGTACCCATGGGGGGGGGGGGGGGTGGAGGCCTATCCTCGATCTGAGAGGTCTAAATCGTTTCATTCGAAAGCAGTGCTTCAAGATGACCACACTGGCGAAGATCATACCAGCATTAAACAAGGGACACTGGTTGCAGTCCTAGATTTACAAGATGCGTACTTCCATATCACAATATATGTAGCTCACAGATGATTTCTGCGGTTTGTAGTGGGGGATGAGCACTTTCAATACAAGGTGCTCCTGTTCGGCCTTGTCTCGGCCCCAAGAGTGTTCTCCAAAACACTTGCAGTAGTGGCTGCCCATCTACGCAGAACGGATGTCTCGATTTTTCCCTTATCTCAATGATTATCTCATCAAAGGTCACACTCTCTCAGAGAGTCATCACATGATAGCCGAAACTCATGTTCTATTCGACTCCCTCGGCCTCATTGTAAACATGCAAAAATCGCGTCCATGGCCAACTCAAACCCTAACCTTTATAGGAGCCCGACTCGACTCCCTGTCAGAGAGAGCTCATCTGCCAGCCGAGCGCTTTCAATTCATACAGGACTTAATAAAAACGGCCCTGCAATCTCCAACACTCCCAGTACATGTATACCTGCAGCTTTTGGGTCACATGGCGGCAACTACAATCATTGTGCCCCATGGTAGCTTTCTGCCCTGACTCCTGCAGCCCCTGCCCTTAATCCCTCCTTACCCTTTAACTCCCTCCTTCATCCCTCCCCATATCTCCAGCTCCCTTTCCCTTAACTCTGGTTAAGTCTTCTAGTAACATATCATTCACAATTTTATAACATACTGAAATGTACAGTACTTGTAAAGAGAAACTGAAAATATTAGACTATATAATTACTTAAATGTATATAGTTATAGTGTATCCTCATAGATAGCAAAAAGATGTACCATATGTAATATAAAGGTTCTATTTGTAAATCAACGTGCCATAATACCTGCCAAAGAGAATGAACCATACTTTTTAGAAAATAACCGATGTACAAGTGGAAAAGGTGATTAAAATCCATTATTTAATTTGATTCTTTCCATTAGGTCATTTAAAACTGTTCATCTCAGTTGTGTCAGAAGCATAGATTCTTGGAGGTACATTTGAGTGTCTGTCTATTCGGTTTTTTGTGTGTGTGTTTTCCCCAGTGATTTAGAGAACAGGACAGCTGCTGATCTACCCAGAAAGCTCTCTTTGGGTGTGTCTAGACTACAGCGTCTACACTACCGCGACTACAACTATACCTGCGTCTATACTACCGCTGAGTTCTGTCGACATAACGTCGACAGAACTCAGCAGTTTTGTCGACGCTGGTAAATCTCATTTTACAGTCGACAGAAGGAGTTATTGCATCTAAACTGTCCTTTGCGTCTACACTGCCATGTTGACAAAGCAGCTTGCTTTGTCGACAGAACTGAATGTAGTCTAGACGCTCTTTGTCGACAGAAGCTTTGTCGACAGTATCTGTCGACAAAACTTCTGTCGACAAAACCCTGTAGTCTAGACGTACCCTTTGACAAGGACTATAGAGTTCTGTCCCATCTCAATTCAGAGGGCATCTGAAACCATTAGTGGAGCTTTATGTTGTGGTGCCATCAGCATTCTGACAGTTGGGCCAGATCAACACTTAAAAAAAAATGCATTGGTGCAGCTGGACTTGTGGTGCTGTGCTGCTGCAGCACTTTAGTGAAGAAACTACTCTGTCACACTACTCTGACAGGAGAACTTCTGTCATCAGTGTTGCTATGTCACTCAGGGTGTGGACTTCTCATTCCCCTGAGTGATACAAGTGTAGCCATTTAGTATAGATCAGGCCTTGGATTTTGTTGAATGCAGTCAATCATCTGTTCCAGAGTCTGGTACTTAGTTGAGACTCAATTCAGATAAGATTGGTGATGACTTGAGGGTTTGAGAGCAAATGGATGTAATTGTGGAAGTGACTTTTGCCCTCTCAAATGAGTGGTGTGTTCACTTCTTACTTAGATTAACAGTCTAGGTGCTTCTGGATGCCAAGATATCAGTAATGATTAGGAGCTCTTAACTTGACCAGGAGATAGGACAGATTGTAGATGGATGTGGAGCTCACTATTGTTCATTCCTTTGGTTCCTTCAGATTGGTCCATCATATTATGATTTACACCCATGGTGTCCAACATGCTAGCCACTAGGGGGTGGCTAGTTGGCTTGAATAATGTGACTATTTGGCTGGTTTTTTTTAGCCACTACTGTGACTGCTGCTTCAGAACTGGCTGGACATTGTGGGTTTACATGGAACTACGTTTTCAAGACCGCTTGAAAACTTTAATTTGTGCAGAATATCGCTGTCCCCATATTTAATGGTACTTTTCTCAGGGAATATGTCAGTGCTTCAGAAGTTGTATCGGCTTCTGATTTGTTTCTAGTTTCAATGCAAGGTGTATTATTTATCACCTTGGAAAACACAACACTTGTCAATAACTTCTGTTAGTTGAGGAGGAAATGTTTATCTTTTGCAACTTTCAAGACAAACAAAAATGGACAAAGCAAATTAGTTAGAGCTCCACATGAATACACAAGTGGTATCTGCATCCATATCCACAAAAATGAACCATGGATATCTGCATACACATCAGTATATGGACACTGTATCTGACATCTGTATCTGAGCCATGGCTGTAAAGTGGCTATACACAGATTCGTGGGGCTCTAATTATAGTCTCTTCACATGTGTAGAAGGAAGGAGATGCAATAGGCATATCTAGATTTTCTTGGAGTTGGAAAATGTAGGGGAGACAGCCCTACTCACTTACCCTTCAGTATCCAATTTACACGGTTTGAGGATTGGATCCTCTATGATATTAAGTAAGTTTACATTATCTTCCTCAAAGAATATGCAGAACCCAACAATTTAAGTGTGGGCTCCTCTACATGCAAAGGTAGTCAAACTTTTCTCAAAAGTGCCTTGACCTAACACATATGAAACTTTCATCTTACATTTTTTTTATTCAGTTAGCCAAAGCTTGCTTTTTTAGAGATAAAAATACATTAGTTCAAATCTTCTGTTTCTTTTGGCAGGTGTGCAGATGTTCAGAGTAAGGTGCGTGCAGCATGCAGAGGAAAGGTTGCCATATCAGGTACACAACTGGGTGATGGTTTCATTTTGTTTTAAATGTAGAAAAATCTAATTAAATATATACATTGGCTAGTGTTTTCATATGACCAAATATGCAAACAAAATGGGACTTTAAAAAAAGCCAAAATGATTTAGGACCATAAACCTTTGTCTTCTGCTCAAGTAATTTGGGTGCTTTTGAAAACTTCATCCATGATCTTCCTGTTGGTTTCAAGAATTTTGATTTTGAGTGCTTTTATATCCTTAAATGCATAAACACATTGAAAAGGAAGTATATTAATTTACTTAAATGTGTTTAAAGTCTTGGGATAAACATTTCAAAAGTGCCCAACTCCCTTTGAAAGTGAACAGAATTTGTGTTAGGGCTTTTAAAAATGTTTTCTATGTTCCCTCATAGCTCAACTTCTACATGATCCTACAGTGAAATGTGTAATATAATACAGTACACATTTGTTTTTAGCAACCTTATAAAAGCAACTGCTGCTTACAAGCAACATTTCCCCTGGGAACACTGTCCCTGCTGTGAATTGTCAACACTCCCCATAACAGCAACAGCCACTTAGGAGCAACATAGCAAAAGGGTACCAATATGTTGCTACTACAGGTGGAACCTCTCTCTGGTCTGGCACCTTGGGACCTGAGTGGTACAGAACTACAGTTTGCTGGACCAGGGGAGCTCAAGGATCCCTTCACGGCTACTGGCCATGCTCTCAGCCACAGGCCCACTGCCCCCAAACCCTGCTAGGGCTATGCTCCCCAACGCACTGACTCTGTCTGAGGCTGCATTCTTGCCACTGGCCTGGGCTGCGCTCCCAGGTGCTGTCTCTGCTGCTTCTGGCATGAGTGAGGCTATGCTCTTCACTATGCTGGCCTGGCCAGGGCTGTGCTGCCATCCCCCACCAGTCCCACTGCTCTAGTCTGGGAGGGGCTGAGTTCTCCATGATGCTGGCTAAGGCTATTCTGCTGGCCCCACTGCTATCAGGTCTGCACTCCTGAGGGGGGCTGTGCTTCCTAACATGTCAGCCCTGTACTCCCCCCACCAGTCAGCCCCTGAACCTGGTCAGCCTGGGTTCTCTGGTCCAGCAATATCCATGGTCATTCTGGACCACGGATGTTGCCGGACTAGAGAGTCATGAATTTCAGTGGCTCAACCTGTAATGAGTCTACTATAAATAATACTTAACTTTTATTTAGTGCTTCATCAGCAGAGCTCAGAGTGCTTCACAGTCCTTTATTTATTCTCAGAACTCCCCTGGGGGGGTAGAGAAGTATAATTCTCATTTTATGGCATTGATTTTTGACATGATATGACAAAAGATACAGTAAGGAAACTACAGGGAAACTGAAACCTTAGATTCCAAATTTATCTTTCAAAATGTTATTCTAGGAATTGAAATTCATGTGTATGAATTTGAGTAAATCAGGTGTTCATGTATTGAATACATTTTAAAAAGTTTATACTGTAGGTTCTGCACCTACACAAGCATATATACATGTTGGGCTTAATAAATATTCAGTTTTAGCCTTAGTGTAAATGTGCTACTATCTTGACATTAGTGATGTAAAAAGTCATTTAAAAATCCTCATGGTTACATCATGCACTATGGGCTCTGCATTATAAGTGAAGCTGGCTCCCCTTTTATACTGCATAGTCTGCAGCGAAGCCTCCCCTAAAGTCCCAGTGTTGCAAGGCTGAATTATTGAAATTTTCAGGAAGTCACAGAGGTCTCAGACAATCACAAAACTTGTGATTGACTTGTAGCCTTAACCATGACTATTAAGTCATAGTGTGGATGCTAATGGTGCTTGCACAAATCTGGTAAACATTGACGGTGCTTTTTTAATTCACTTTTTAAATGAGCAATAAATACCGGAATACACAAGTTAAAATGACTCTATTTTTATTATAGTAAAGAACGTTTTTAAAAGAAAAAATTAACTTTTTCTTTTAAGGCGTACACAAAATATGCTCTGTCTCCAAGGCTTAGTAGAATTTTATAATAATTTAGTTGGATGCTAGGGCACAAAAAATAGACTCAGATGAGTGGCAGCTCTATTTCAGCATGGAGAGGGGAATACATTTGTTTTCCATAATTTTCTTCTTATATTGTTGTCACATTTAAATCCCCCCTGGCATGAAAAAATTATGTAATTTATTTGTTTTACTAGTTTGTCAGCAGACAATAAATTACATGTTGATCAAAAAGCATAACTGTAATTTCAAGGTCTTGTTTTATAATGATCTATAAATAAAATGTCAGAAGAAATCATTGGATTTAAAATTGATTAATTATACTATCTAATTTAAATCCATATGGATTTACAACTAATTGTAACTGAAATTAAGATGTGTAAAATTGATCTGAATTTTTGATAAATGGATTACAAGTATCCTGTTAAACTTGTTCAAGTAATTGAGTCTATATCCTGATAACTTTCTGAGTAAGGCGCATATTTTTCATCTTTGTCATACCAAAGTACTCTTTCTTGTTTTTTGGAGCATTAAAGCAGTCATTCATGACTTTCCATGGTTAAAGTTCTGAAAAGTTTTTGGAACTCCCTGTTTCCTATACAGGCACTCCCTGACTTACAAACATCTGCACTTACAAACAAAAGCTCACCTGCAGCCTCAGTTAGGGACATCCTTAGGATTTATGGGGTCCTATGCCTAACGGGGGATTACAATTTTTGAGATGTGAATATATAATCTTTAGCAACACACTAATTAAATATTTTAAATTAAGATCCTGTAGACAAACAGTAAATTCAGAAACTGACAGTATATACCTGGGTTGGCAAATGCCTGATAAATGATGTCATTAGCACTTGAATAGCTGTTTCTCAGATTCATTGTATTCTTCATACAGGTAAGGACAGCCCTTGCTTGAGAGAGCAGGCAAGAAGCACAGGTTGAGGTGAGCAGTGTAAGTGTTGGCTGGAGGACTCCAGAGGAGCAAGGGATGATCACACAGCCAGCGGCTGGAGGGAAGCAGTGCTCTGAAGGGGAAACTGCTGCTTCTCTCCAGCTGCACAGCTGCCCCTTGCTCCTATGGAGTCCTCCATCCCATTTTTGCACCTCTCACAGACTCCTAGTGAGCAGGAGCTGAGTACAGCACAGGGGTGTGTGCTGGGGGTTGGAGCTGGCCTCAGGAGCAGGCAAAGAGGGTCAGGTGATGTCCCCTTCAGAATCTCCACCTAACTCCTCATCCCCTCAAGCACCAGTATTCAAGGTTAATTAAAAAAAAACTTTTTCATTGCAAATATACAATATTTCAGCTGCATTATGGATTAAATAGGCTTTTGTGGGCTAGCCTAGGAATCTAGGTCTTTATAACATTGTTTTCATGAGTATGGATTCCGAGTTCCAAACAACTGATTTACAAACAAACTGTTAGACCACAACCTGTTAGTAAATTGGGAATTTCTTGTATTTTATAACATTTAGATCTTTGTCTTTTAATGCTGAAATTTTCCATGCTCAATGCTTTCCCTCCCCCTTTAATTTGAGATCCCTGTAGCTTTTTGAATTAATTAAAAAAAATTACTTTTAGACAGAATGACTTACTTGAAATTTTGAAACTGAAAGGCAATTTCTGAAAGTGCCTTATCTTAGTTTAAAGTATCTGTCATTTATTTTTAAAAAGTTAGGATAATTTAAAATTGTTTACTCACCATCCAATGTAGAAAATTCATCACCTGTACACACTTAAAAATATGAGTCTGTAAGTGCTACAATTCTTAATATAGTGAATCACACTTCAATCGTGCCTAAATGTAAACAGTTGTAGTTAATGTAATTCCAGGAACTGTTTCTACAGTTTTCTGGTTCTTCTTGTGTCCCTCTACCACAACCATAGCTTTTTTCCAGTGTTTGGTACATGATATGGCTTGATTCTGGTTAGGGGATTTAAAATGCATTTAATATTTCAGTAGTTACATGGTTACATATGGAGGCGAGTAGGCATGGGGAGCCGGCTCCCTGCATGTATTGGGAGCCTACATGTAACTGTGAAGGTTAACGGAGGGCTGCTGGCAGGCAGGGAGCCTGCCTGAGGATCCCACTGGACTGCTGTCTGGGAGCTGCTTAGGTAAGTGCCTCCTGGCCCGAGCCTACCTCCTGGCATCCCACCCTCCTGCACTCCAATCCCCTGCCCTCGGTCACTATCCAAATCATTTATACCTCCCTCCTGTACCAGGTCACAACTCCGTCTGACCCCACATCCTCTCCTACCCCGATATCCATTCTGCACCCAGCTGCAGTCCCAGTCCCTGTACCCCTTACATAGAAAAGTGTGGCCCTTGACCACTTACCAAAATCTTGAGAATGGCCCCCCATAAAAATTATTGCCCAACCCTGTGATAGATGATTTGAGATGTGATGCTTGTATAGTTTGTAGATATATTAATAGTGATATAGGCCTGAAATTCTTTGGCTCCATTGCATCCTTCCATGGCTTCAGGAGTGCCGCATCACATGCGCCTTGCCAGATCTTGTCTACCTTGTGTGGCTGTCAAGGCTGATTCCCCACACTGGTACGATGAATGCAGAAGTGGGGGCCCACAAAAGTACTCCAAAAACTTATCTTTCCAGAATTCGGTATAAAATTTCCCCCCAAAATCCTAAAAATCTGCTGCCACAAACAGGGGTGGACATTGGAGAAAAGAAGTTGGGGTGCTCTGGGGTTGGTTTCAAAGAGATTGAAAAAGAAAGAGAAAATATAAACTGCAGTCCTCTAGTCAGAGGCATGCAGATATCCACAGACAGATTTTCCAGGACACAGAACTGAACCAATACTAGGTTAGTAAAAAAGAAAACTTTTTATTTTTTATCAAAACAATACTCCTGATACAAGCATAGTTGGATCAGCTAGATGGTAAGAACCACCAGTTAATAAACTCATGGGAATTTTCCCATGGGCTCCAAACTTAGTTACAAAAGGGAGGAAAGCCCATTTCTAAAAGCACAGACATCAGATCCACAGTCCCAAACCATTTAGCTAAATGAATTTATCTAAACTTTACCCTATTTACAGATGGTGAAGAGTCTTTTCTTGGAGAAAGACATGTTGTTTGTCCCCCTCAGTATCTGGAGAGCAAACTGGTCCAGGGACAAAGGAGGGAAAACCCCAAAATTCCTTTGTCTCAGTTTGAAATCCCTGCCTGCATTTATATTGGCTGAATGCTACCTGGCTAGGTACAGGGACATAGTTAACTCCTTAGTCCCCAGGCTTCTGGCCATCCTTCATGACCATAATAGTGGCTGAGCACAACTTAAGTAACTAGTTCTTTGTTGCTGGTCCAAAGTGTCAGTCCAAATATCAGTTGGTGGCTAGAGTTTCTGAATCTGGAAATCCTGCTGACCATCTATCATGTCTGTACCTGAAGTACTCAGTCATCAGTATAACCAAGTGACTGTACCCAGCCATCAGAGCATTTGTAATTTTCATTTAAAATGGTCCTCATTAATGCCAGCACTGACAATAATATCAGCAAACATGAAGAGCTTTCGTGCCAAATGCACAATCTTATAGCCAAAATGTGCACTGACTAAGTTGTGCAGAAGCCCATTGTTCACTAATGGAGGAAATACAAAAGTCACATTAAGGTCTTCTTGCGAGTATGGATATTACCTGTAGCAGCAAGAAATCATGAATTATCATCTGGAAGCTTAATAGTTGCCTAGGAAAGGCAGAAAAATGCTACAATGTCCTTTTAGATATTGTACCAACTCCTAGAAAATGGAAGAGCACCAAACAGACAACTTATGATGTGGCTTAAGTAGCAAGAAGAGTGGGAAACTTATAATTTTGAGCCACCATGCAAAATGACCAAATTAACCTCCAGGAAAATGCCTCTAAGAATGGTAAAGATGCTGGTCTGGATAACATTTGTGCTGAACAAATCAAAGACTTTGGACCAGCATTAAGGTTATTACAGTTGAAACAAGAAGAAACCTTAGATGCAAAAACCTCTTGGAATAACTGACAGACGGAACTTGCTGCAGAAGTAATTGTGTTTTTTTTTTCCTGTATTTTTTTGGACAGACCAACTCCACAGCTGCTGCAGTTCCTCTATAAAAAAATAAAATGTTAAAGATTTTTAATGAAAACCAGCATATTTGTCTTAATACCATTCAATGATGCTTCTCCAAGTCACCTAATATATTGCATGCTCTTTTTGAGGTTGCTGCATTGTACTTTGGAGTCAACTTTGTTTTAGAGTTCATTTCAGGTGATCTGTATTGAGGAATAAATCTGTAAATAATGATAGGTAGTGTCAGATAACATTGAATAACGGTAGATGAACTAATAATTCTACTTAAAGAAATACCAACTCCATTATTGGTTATTTACAGCAAGAATTAGAAGAATTAAGCTGCTCTGCCCTTTAATATGGTTATAAAGTAAAAGATAGCCATTTCTTTTAACTAAGAAGCTTTTATTAATTTTTGTGTCATTTAAGGTGATCCAAACTTAGTATGTAATACAAGTGGAATTTGCTGAATGACTCAGTGTGGCAAGGGCTTATTCTTGGCTTGTTAAATTTCTACAAGATTGCCTTTAAACATAGAGGAGTTGTCTGTCTTGCAGCAAAATGAGTGGTTCCCAAGGCAAACATATGAAGAGTATATCATTTAATGTGTCTTCACTGTATGGTGGACTTAAATATCACTCAGAGCCATGTTATAGCAGCCACCCTGAGATTTTATTTCAGATATTCTTAAATAAGATTATAAACTATGCTTGGATAAAGAATATTTTAAAAGAGAATGACATTTCATATTGAACTAGTTAAATTATGAAGTTTCTTTTGGCACTAGTGGTTATGCTTGAATTAGTTATGCTATTTGTTGGAGAGAAAGTATAGGCCCTATTACATCCAGAAAAATAGATCAGAAATATTCTGTTTTATTTGGACGATAGGTCTTATAATTTAATTTTTTCCTTTGCTTCTTTAGGTATTCGCATACCATTAATGTGGAAAGGCTCTGAACACTTCAACAATAAAGAAAGTATGTTAGATTTTATTGAACTCTTATGTACAGATAATATTAATCACAGTGTAAACTGGACATGAAGTTGAGACCCTCATTTTCACCTATATTTTTGAGAGAATTTTGTAGAACTGTGGACTAGTTGTGCTACTGCTCAGTAGCTTTTCTCTGAAGGTAATGGTGGTAGAAGTTTTAAAATAGGTTAGGATTGTGAAGTTTCTATTAATTTAAATAGCTTCTACTGAGAAAGTGGTGCTGTGGACAAGAACGGGTATATCTGAGTTAAATGAAACTATAATACTATAGAATATGTGGGCGTTTGGGATGCTTTAGAGAAAGATGGAAACTCCAATGGAAGAATAGAATAGTGGCACTACTAAGCTGACTAAAAGCTGAAACAATTATGAATAAACTTAGTAGCATCTTTTCCCTTGAATTTGAAAGAGTATTTGGTGGGAGATGCCTTTGCTGAAAGAGAAAAAGAATAAATGAAAGTTCTGTCTGTTAGTGTTAAGTGGATTATTTGGTAAGCTTCAAAAATGCATGCATTTTACTATATAATGGAGATTAACTCTAAATCTTTTCCAGCTGTCACTTGGCATTGCTTTCACTTTGATTTTTCAATAGGGTCAGAGGGTTTAATATGGCAAAACACTCTCTAATCCATTAGTGCATTTATAATACCGTATATGCTCTGGTGTTTAGATATTTTGTTTTGCTTTAAGCATTCAATCCTATTGAGCACATACTTTTTACTGAGGTTTCTGAAATTATTGGCAAATAGACACCTGTAGAAAGGAATGCTTGAGTAAAAGTTTAAATTAATTTTTCTTTCTAAAAATGTTGCTCTACTAATGCAGCAGCTTTGATGGTTCAACTACAAAATGCATAACATTCTAGAATACATAATTTATGACTACAAGGATTCTTTGACAACGTAACAGTTTCAGTTTAAATTTAATTTAAACTCATTTTCTTGACTCATTTACAGGAAACATTTAACAATGTATTCCATAACATCTTTCAAAAACATTTCTTTGGTTCTTCCTCAGGATCACAGCTATTCGCAGTATTTTGTTTACTTAAAATGGGAGCTGAAGTTTTTGATACAGACATGGTTCTTGTGGATAAAGGATTAACTGATATCTGTTTTGAAAATGTAACCATATTGTGAGTATTAATTTTTTTAACAAAGTAAATGTGTTATCTTAAGAACATAAGATAGGTCTTGATTAAACAGTTACTGAAATAAAGGGAACTTATTCTGTTTACTTTGTACAGTAAAACTCCATTAGTCCGGCATCCAGTGCTCCGGGACTCCTGATGGTCTGGCACCATCAGGAACCCAGAAGTGCTGGGGCAGCTTGACAGGCTTCCCCCATTCAGCTGCTGCTGAAATTGACCAGCAGCTGAATCGGGGAAGCCGGGAGCAGAGCAGCTGGGGTGCTGCCGGGTTGGTCTCGTAGC